CGCAAGAGACTGGTAGGTCGTGGATGCATACTGCTGAGGAATCCCACGGTAGGACGAAATAGTCGTCTAGTGTTTCCAGGTTTTCCATGGTGGTCCAGCCTTAATTGACTCATGATCTCAACTATTAAAATAATGTGTAAAAGCCAACATTACTAAGTGTATATATACACTACTGCTATTCGCATACTACTCGAGCAATCACTATCTTTGATGTTTAAAAAAATTGTTTTTGTCAAGTTATTTACACAAAAATTAATATTTAATTTACATCTCATTTTTCTTTATCTTAATGTCCTATTTCTCTGTTTAATGACTTCCCACAATTTATAAAATTATATGTGGAACAAATCAGTATTATGCAGTGTAATATGAAACATGTACATCAATTGTGTAATTACTGAATGAGCAGGAGTAGAGTTATATATTGTAAGGATTTTTATGTCGTGCTATTGATTAAGGTTAGTTAAAACTAAAATTAAAGCAGAATAACATAAATTCATTATATTTCGTGGTTTCCCATCAGCTGCTTACAACCATCTATGTAATAAAATGTAACATTGATATATATATAAGAATAGGTGAGGTCATTTGGTGATGGAATTTAAAAACAACGGGGAAGGTGAGGCACTGATCAAATGAAGTCCAGAAACAGATATGATAAATTGTGTGATAATTATAGAACTTGTGTGGAATTTATGCAATATTCAAATCACTTGAAAATAAATATGAAAGACATTTGGTTATGACTTGATAATTGTCTAGAATAAGAAACTGATAAGGTGGGTTACATAATAGTTAAACAGGACTTGAAGAGTTTACATATGTTTGGAAACTGAAAAACAGATGAATGAAAGGATGATTTTAGTATATATAAAATAAGAATTAGTTTGGGAGACCACATAACAAAATCATTACTAAAATACTAATAATGACAATAACAGAAAATTATGATTTACCAACGTAGTGATAAGCTTATAAGCAAAGATGGACGGTGGCTAGTAGTGGAATCCAGGACGTGCGTTTCGTTCAATTTGGAAATCGTAAGATGGATATACCTGCTTATAATGCTTGTGACTTAGGGCAATCCTCACATAATGAACATATACCAATAAGAGACTGATCAATCACATTCCTAAACATCAATGGGAAGATTTAAACAAACAATACAAAATGTAGTGATAAGTTATTTACTCTCTCTTTCTGGGCACATAACTCAGGTTTGAGTTTCGTTATTGCTACTGCTTCGGCAAAGCTGAAAGACGCTGCTATTTTTGTCTGGAAATAATCCTTTGAAACACGGATATAGGAAGCAGGTCTTTTCCTCTGTATCGTATTTGACACGTGATTTGTTTCGGCATACTTCGTGATGAAATTTATAGCAAGCTTGAAATAGACAAAGCTTAAACACGCAATCGAAGACTAGACCCTATTGTAAATATATTGATGACATATATCTTGTGTGCAACAATCAGAAGCCCACTATGTACCTACTCAATCTGTTTAACAATGTACATAATAATATAAATTTTACATGAAGTAGAAGGTAAATTTTGTACCTTAGATATTGGAATAAAACGAAGTTCAGATAGCACTCTACAAAGATACATCCACGGGAAAAATACATAAAGTGGAGTTTATCTTGTGGTGGCTGGTATTATATCAAGCCCACATAAGTTATACCAGCTTCTGGACAGGCCAATTTATTCATTCTTCTCAAGCCATATTTTGACCTTGTTAATCATTCGCTTATTAATCCTGACTTTTTATATGACATGAGCGCATGTGTGTTAATTGTTCGTTACGTGTCTCTAACGTATTTTTGTCTGAATATAAATATTGACACGCTTAATCAAAAAAAGTTGGCTCACTCGTCTTCTCCGCTGCGTGTCACCTCGTTTCGATTCTGTCTGAATCAATGAGTGTATGAAATATACATATTCAATACTCATTCTCGTATTTTGCTTACTTTATTCCGTTATTCTCTAAGGCGAATGTAGTCGATAAAAATATACGAGGGTTGGCGACATGTACATTTCAATAACAATCAGCATTCGATTTGGCTGGTGTCAAATATAGGACCATTAAAATCCAAACTACAACAGCTTCTGTTCAGTAAATTACAAGAGGGATTTTACGAAACCTTTTTGACCGCTCTCGGGCTCAAAGAAAAGCCTGAAAGAACTTGCTTATGCATAAATGCACGTCCAGTGAAATACATATATTTTTTCTGATAATCCATGTTATCACAATTCCTTCCGTTATTAGTGTCAATTGTTTCACATTATATCATATCTCAGTGTTACTTTTGAATATATATATGGTTGTAAGCGACTAATAAGAAGCCATGAAATGTAATGAATTCATAATATTCTGCCTCAATTGTTTTTAGATTTATTCAAATTAGTAAGATCAATTGCGTGAAATAAGGTTAGTTGACAAAAAAGGGCAGACGAGTTTGTTTGGATTTACGGCAGAATGTAATCGAACGAGAGTTAACTTGACTACAATACTAAGATCAGTAACTACTTTCATTGCTGTTTGGAAATAACATGCCAGTTCGAGTAACCAACCGATTATTAAAATCAGAAAGGAACACTCGTGAATAAAGTGATATAGAAGCCACATCACAAAAGTTTTTCTGTTTAGTTATATGCGTAAATCGTAAAATAATTTGGTCGGATTTTAAGTAATTGAATAAAATGAATAACCTTACTCCCTTAAACGCATCTCATTATTATATAACCGTAATAACCTATTTCTAATCAAGCGCAATTTGTGGTAAAATTGTATCAGGTCCAGGTGTTCAACTACTGTAAATAAGAATGTATTGTGCTAACATCCACAGAAAGTAAGTTGTTTCATTATATAAAGTTGATTGGTCACCCGATATTTCTTCAATAGTCTGATGTATTTAGTGTCCGAACCCCAGTGACACCACATTTTTTATTCTAGTCTAAGTATATAGTGAAAAAGATTGGAGTTGTGGAACAGAGCTTCAGTGGAATACTAGTTACTTTGAATAACTAAAGGGAACTCACATCTCATCTACATTAGACACTACCTCTGTCAATGTTTTAGCTGCATGTTGGAGGAACTGGATTACACGGTATGTGTGGGTAATACTTAAGAATGCTATGGTTAGTTTCTGAATATTTACGGAATTGAACTGATCACTCAGGTTTCTGTTAAGTTGATTGTACCTGTAATAGTTTCAGAAGTGAATTACTTGGCACCTACTATCGAAGTAAAACAGGGAGACATGTTTACAGATAGTCTCCTAAGCTTGGTATTTTCGTTGTCCTATACAAAGGCCTTGGTTTTTATACCAATTACACCAATGAGGATGAAAGGTGATTTCACATTTAGCTTAGATGAAACAGCAGTAAGCTTTACTACATCTGCTAGAAGCAGGGGCTAGGTGATTTTCTTTCTAGAGAACAACTAAAATAAGAAGTCATTTTGGGTTATATGACAACACAAAGTTTTGTGAGGTTGACCGGATGTTCGTGTTTGAATATATTGCCTACAGCATTATTGGATTTTCAGACCCCCGCCAGCTAGTGAAATTACAACACAACCCCGCTTAATACATAGAAATTGATTCTCTATATGGATTACTTGTTAGAGTAATCGAATGTATATTCCTCTTATCGCGATATTGAATTTAATATTTGTTCAGTTCAATAGAAATGTAGTGTTAAATCGGTCATTCTGAATGAACTTGGCATATCGTAATTGTATTCTTAAGTAATATAACTACGGTGATTAGCAGCTACGAACTTATTTTATAATACTTGATAAGTTTACGCTTTATATATATGAAATTCTATTTAATTAAAAAGACATACGATGAGTACGAAAAGCAAATTGTTGGATGTCGTATTTCAACTGTAATACACAACCAGCCGACCAATATGAACTCAGTAAACATATAATTCGCGTGGAGGACTAAAGTAATCTTGTTAACATAACTGTAACACCATACTAAAACGAACAGAAACGACAGTAAAAGAAAGCAATGAACTATCTCCCTCACAATATTTTATCTGGTAACATCTCGACCAAGATACTTACAACAGTAAAGTGGCTTTTTATCACTTGGCTGTGAATTCAAGTATGATAATCCATACCACAGAACTAGTAATGCAGTTAACGAACACTGATAGCTATTAAACTAATCAAACAAAATTGGGAGTCATAAATTGAAAATACTAACTACGAACAGACATTGACAGATGTAGCAGTGTTCCAAACACTATTGGAGATTCCAGCATATTTGTGACGTACCCAAATAAGGAATATCGCTTGGTCGAGACAGCATAACATTTAAAATGGGCGAATAACTAGTAGAGAGAATGTTTCATGTGAACCACAACTGTTGATCGAATAATACCAAGTTAAAAATGCATCCAGTGAAAAAACCCTATGGTGGTTTTTGTTGCATGTAGAATTGTGCTTCCACTAATTGTTCTGAAAATATTTCTAACAAACACATTTGAATGTTTCCTTCCCATCCCAAAAAGAAAGTTAAGTAATTTGAATTTAATAACCATTTGGATTCGGGCTGATGTGAAAGCGATATTCACTAACTTACAATTATTATTACAAATCGAAAAACAATTATGTGCAAGTATATATTATTTAGAGAAATGTTAATAACCTCCTTTTATAACTGTAAAATTAATTCTGAATTACGATTTCTCTCTAAAGTGAAGATCATTACGACCAAACCACTTGGTCTACACATTTTATGTATAGAATGTTACATAAAAACTAAGAGTTGAAGGATCGTTTAATACGGATCAACAAAATTTAGATAAGCTGCTTAAAAAAACTAGGTGAACACGTTTCTTTGATGTCCTAAAACAAAAAATAGAGCAACGTACGGAAAGGCTGACCAAAATAACAAACGCAAATACTAAGCGTTCCAGTAACTATTTTACTGAATTAATAAATACTTGAATTACCCCCCCCCAAAGAAATAGAAAGAAAACACAAAGTGCTACCGAGTTCTGTTAACGATTTATCAAAATAAATTAAGGAGTCAGTCGTTTTGGATCACGTGGGAACATTGATGCTTTTCTGATATTATCCAACCCAAGGAACAGCATAGTCACTCGCTCAAGACCTAAAATTCAATATCGAAGACATGTACTAATTAAAATGGAATAAACGTATTCCGTAAGAAAGCAAATGTGCAAAGCAACAGGGATATAACAGCATAGATCAATAAAACGGACTCCAAAATGTTAAGAAAAAATTACTCAGTGAGTTATTACACCTTCCTGCTCCCCTGTTTACAATGGTGCAGGCGATGCTAGAAAGTATTGTTGAGCTTTCAAAAAGCATAGTTCCAAGTAGGTGAACAATTATTAGGAGGGTAAACAAAAGCATCATTTATGAGTGTGTAACTACAATTTAGAATATGGCTATAATTATTAACTTTAGTACTGATAGTACACGCCCAGAACCTTACAGTTCATAGCACAACCCTTAGTTTTTTTGTCTCCTGACTAAACCTACTAACATCTGTTTTGATCACTGGTTTCCTTTGCTAATGGAACGATATTAGAAACAACAAATGTTATGTATAAATGATTGAATGTCTTAGAAAGGTGTTATAACTTACCAATCCCTCCACCGGCATGGGGTGGACAACCATAACGAAAAGCGTCAATGTACGCTTTAATCTTTTCCAGATCTGTAACAGAAAAACATCAAATAGTTAAGTAATATGATATAGCAGTTATAATTTTAAATTAACAAGTAATCATATTCGAGATACAAACATACTTAAAGCGATCCTTAGTTCTTTCATGTATTCAAACACCAACATGGTTTTTCTTATGAAATAGAAATCATAAAATATCAACGAAAGTAAAACAACACAAGTTACGTATTGGAAGTAGGCAGTAATTTATAACGAATATACTGTAGATGTGTGCAGTGTACTCATCTGGACCAGTCTACAATTGATTCACACAGACATGTAATAACTCTGAGGACGATGACAAACTAATTTTTGATATACGACCTTTAGTATTGAATCGAACGTAAATGCCCTGACATGCAGATTTATGTAGGTCTAAAGCACTGAGAATAAGTTTATGAATAGAAATTAAAAGGGCAGATGTTAGGTTACGATTAAGAAATAAAAAGTGAATACAGCAGCATAATTTTAGTATATGAGTAATAGATGTGTATTATGACACAATCATATCATTATCACGACAGTCGACAAATTTCTAAACATGCTAGTCAGTCAGCTACAACGTAGGACCAGGCACATTTATGCATCGGTCCAAGTTGCCATACCTCATTAACACAACAAGATGGACACCGGATTTATAAAAGAAGTTAATTCAGAGGTGGTAGTATATAAAAGAAAGATTGCAATATAGATATAGTACAGCAAGAAATAATTAGTTCGTAGAAAGAAAGATATGAAGCGATTTTAATCTCTTAGTTTAAGGGAAGATAGAGAATGTATACACCGACGCCATTGTGATCGATTCTGAGCCATGTCACCAAGAGTCTCCAACGATTGGTTACGATAGTCACGCGGACCCCAACCAAGTAGTCTGCATTTACCAACATGGCTCAGACTACAAGTTAGTGACTTCAAGCACTGATGCCACGTTTTGGTTTGGCCGCCCCTAACTTCCTCCCAAACATCCCGAACACCGGTTAGCATTGCACGTCGTGGTAATCGGTGTTCAGGCATACGCAACACGTAGCCCAACCATCTCGGTCGATGGAGATTAACAATCTCATCAACTGGTTTACCATCATTCCCTAACACCCTGCGTCGAACCTCACTATTACTTACCCGGTGATCCCAGCAGACGCCAGTAATATTTCTAAGGCATCTGTGGTCAAATACTAGTAGCTTAAGAGTGTCTTCTACTCTTAATGGCCATGTTTCGCTGCCGTAAATTAAAACAGAGCGGACTGCCGCGCAGCATACTCGTCCTTTTATTGATAGACGGATATCTCGACTTCGCCAAAGATGACGTAAGTTGGCAAAAGCCAAACGAGCTTTTCGAATCCGTGTTGAGATTTCGTCAGACACCAACCCATTAGGGCTGATCAGACTTCCAAGATAAGTGAAGTTGTCAACGCGTTCGACTACTTCAATCCCTATCCTTAGTTTAGGTGTTGACGCAGACCAGTCCTGAAGCAACAATTTGCATTTAGAGGGAGAGAAGCGCATTCCAAACATTCTGGCATTGTTGCTTAGTGCTACGAAAAGACTTGGCACTTTATCAGCGTCTTCACCAAACAGGACTATGTAATCTGCGTATTTTAAATCGATAAGTGGACACACTGGTAGGAGATCAATGCCCGAGAATTCAGTCGACGAGAATGTTATTTCCATCAATAGGTCTATGATGAAGTTAAACAAAAATGGAGAAAGTGGACAGCCTTGACGGACACCACTTGAAGTTGCAAAAGTAGATGACAGTTCGCCATAAGCCCTGACTCGACTAGTAGTGTTCGAGTAAAGAGCCTCCACAAGGTTTATGTACTTCTGAGGTACGCCTTTCAATGACAGACACTGCCACAGAATCTCGCGGTCTACCGAGTCAAATGCTGCTTTCAAGTCAAGAAAGACCACCATTGTCGGATGCCGATAAGTATACCTATGTTCTAGAACCTGATGAATGGTGAATATGTGGTCGATGCAGCCACGACCAGGTCTGAAGCCAGCTTGATTCTCCCGTGTTTGCAGTTCGCTAGTCGTAGTTAGGCGTCTGATAATTATCGAGGCTAGTATTTTAGATACTATATTAGTCAAACTAGTCCCTCTATAGTTGTCACAGGATGATTTTAACCCTTTCTTATATATTGGGACGATAAGTGACTGTGACCAGTCAGATGGAATAACGTCTGACTCCCAGATCTTAGCTAAAATATTAGTCAACCCAATCGCTAAAATTGGACCACCATCCTTAAAGACCTCTGGAGCCAATCCATCTGGACCAGCTGCTCTTCCTCGTTTCAGATTAACTATAGCCTTTTGAACTTCTGCTAGGGTTGGGGGACCTACTTCAATGTTCCATTCACACTGTCTGGGAATGGAGGGTAGTTGTAGAGTAGCTGAAGGCCAGTTGAACTGTTCTTTGAAATGTTCCACCCATCGTTCTAAACGTCTGGACTAGGAGCAGATGAGAGTGTCGTCTTTTTCCGAAATAGTTTCATTTACACTTGCCTTCTTAATTGCAGTTTCTTTTATCAGTCTGTAGAGCTGTCTTGTGCTACCTATAGCCGCCGCCTTTTCCATCTCTTTTGCTTTCGTTGCCCACCACTGCTCACGGTCGTTTCTTAGACTTTTTCTTGACCTAGATCTGATTTGTTGTTCGGAACCTGATGGGACGAGTTTGCGAAGATCCATCAGTGCGATAGACTTTAAAGAAGTCCACTGGTTCTTTGTAACTCTGTGGTTTAAGTCGCTAATAGATGTCACTGCTGTTTCCACAGCTGCTTGTATGTCTTTCCAAGCAACATCTGGGTCAGCCTCGTCTTCAGAACTACCTAGGTGTGACCTCAGTTGTTCTTGGAACCTATTTTTGGTTTTCTCGTTACTCAACTCAGTTCTAATGGGTCTTTTCAATGTGGCTTTCTTGCGTCCAGTGAGGCGCAAGCAGGTGCGTGCCCGTATTAGTTCGTGGTCGGAGTCCAAGCAGGTACTCCAGAATGAGCGACAATCTTCTACCGACCCTCTCCAACGATGACTGATGGCAATATGGTCTATTTGAGTCTATCGTTGGTTTGGTGTAGGGGGTCGCCATGTTAGACGATGTCTCTCCTTATGCTTAAAATTTGTGTTTGCTAAAAATAAACGGTTGTCTGAGCACAGTTGCAGCAGACGGTCACCATTATGTGTTCGGTGTGCCAGAATACTAAAATATCCACCTAAATGCCTTTCTGTTTGGTTTAAACTACCTATCTGGGCATTAAAGTCACCTGCTACGAGTACTATGTCTGAACGTTTAGCTTTCTGAAGAAGTTCAGATAGATTTCTGTAAAATTCATCTTTCACTTCATCTGAGCTGCAGTCGGTGGGAGCGTAAGCAGAAATGACAAAAAGGCAACGACGTGTGTCCCTATCCTTCCGAGTTCTTACGGAGCCGTTTAGCCGAACAGCACATAAACAACTGTTAACGGACATGCTAGTCACGTGCTGGGAGTATAGCTTTCTGCTCAACAGACTGATTTCACAAGTAATTAAATTGCCAAAGTTAATAGAGGTGGATTGGTAGGGATTGAATGCCCATTATATTCTTGAAATGTATCGCTTTAATCAATTATCTACATAACCTATAAAATTGGGGAGTAAATTTCAATAACACCAGATATAAACAGCACATGAGTGACTGATTTTACACATAATATTAGCATGAAACAAATAACTTGTTAACATACATCGCTCATCAACAAGAGAATCTAGATTAAATGAAATCATAGTCGGTTTAGTGCAATAGCATTTAGATTAATTTTTGAGTGATTTCGCTATGCATAATTTGCGAGTATAAATAAACATAAGTTTCGATAAGGAATCACTGAATTGTGATAGTCCACCAAAAGATAATTAAACCTACATTCTGATACTACATTAGGTGTGCAACCTATAAACGTAGTTTAATATAACGTTTACCGACAACGTGCCAAGTTAAAATGCCCTTAAGAATAATAAGGAAGAAAACTAAACTTACCAACTTTATGGTGTGTAGCACGTTCCGATAAAAGGACTGGATCATGAATACGTTGTGCCCCAGACATGATTTCTTCCCCACGCATGAAAAAATCATACGAATTAGAATAGCCCTGTTTGAGACAAACAACGATAGGAATAGTGTTTTTTATGTGCTATTATGTTTAAAAAAACCTATTGTGAAGCGATTGGTGGTTTTTCAAACGATTTTCTAGATAGACTGCTTACGCATAATCCCTGATGACTGAAGCTTTGTAACAATTATATAAGGCTATAGAAAAATAAAAATGAATTCTTATCTACAATTACTTTTGAATGAATTATGCCTAACTTTTACACTTACAATCACTGTAATATTAAGGATAATCATTGTGTATGTTGCCATATCATTGAATTCGTGAAACACATCTAGTTTAATTGTAGTGTCCTAATAAACTTTTCAGCTGACAAAAACTAGAATTAAGTATGTGAACTAACAAATTAGCTCCTGCGTGTTTACTAAAGTCAACTGGACCTCAAATTCAGAACAATTTAGGATCACTTGCAATATTAATGAGTCAGCCTTGTGATAGAACTGCCAGGGAAGTCCTACTCACTGCCTTCTCGTGGCGGGGGTGTTATTTACAAAAATGAGAGGACGAAAAGCGAATGTCCGGCGCTTTAACCGGATCACAAATCAATGGTGCACATGGGCTCCAGTATCCTGCGGGAACAAATGGCGTATGAACCAATCGTTGGTCACCGGCTACCATGGGACTGCATCTCCTTACGATGCTCCACCGCCTTGTGGATCAGACCTCTAGGTCAAAGGCTCGGGGAGTGGCCCCCTAAGATAACCGCCTGCTTCGGTTTGGGCACCCGGGCAGTATCACAGCCCTCGCACATATCGAATAAGATTTGTGTGGCGCATATGTATTTGGTGCCTTCTTGTACCAATATCTATGTGTTAAAATAAATAAATAATAAATGTGATAGAACTACTTTACTTTCATTAGTGTTGTTAACGAAAATTCACAATGTTACCATAGAGACGCATCCAAGACACTGTATGCTACACTTAAATTCGAGAGACTGAAACTTTTAAACACGTTATGAAAAACGACTGATTGAATTTTAAACAAATACTGTGCAATTTCGACCAAAAAACTACTCTGTATACAGTATTAATAGGGAACACATTCTTTGGCACCGTCCTGCCAATTATTTGAATATACTAGTCAATATAAATCAGAAAACCTGGAGTTTTCTATTTATGATTTAATATGTTACCAAAGAATAATCAAAAGGGTTTTAAATCAATCGCTACTTAGCACAAAAAAGCGTACCTTCTCAGTAGGATGTGGCATAGTATAGAAAGCGCGAATATCAAGTGGGAACTTATCAAGAATATAAAAGTCTGTATGATATTTTTCCTTGATCAATTTCCCAAGGAACTTTTCAGCAGGTGTATTTAAATCATCTAGTTCTCCAATTTCCCAACCGGCATCTTGTAACATCCGAATAGCATCACGATATTGTAAGCGTAACCTTTGAATGAATATATAGAAAAAGATGAATATTAATAAAAATACATGGCTAATTTTATTAAAGTGAGTACAATCATATAATTGATTTTTTGCTTCAGAAAGCAGTAATTTGTTATAAAAATAGCAATTGGAAGCAAAGTGTATTTATAGAATCTATGACGGTAAACATACGTAGGTTGAAGGAATTCAAAAGGTTCTGAATGATATTGTTGATATATGGTTTGGATTTCAGTTTGATATCTACAATTTTTCAAAAGAAATACAATACACAACGAAAGTTGGAGATAAAATAATCAAATATGAGAAGAGTTAATTTTACAAACCTCACATTGAATGAACCATAGATGGTATTGACAAACTTTACTTCATGGTGAATTTAAACGATGAAAATTTCGACAAAACTGACGAAAGTAACATGTATGAGGGTTAGCTTCAGTTAATACTGATCAACGTAGAACCTAAGATGAGTGTACATCAGTTTAAACTGTCAAACCTTACTTCAGCACTATACCAAATCAACAAGATGAGAAACATAGGTTTGGAAATAATTCAAACTACAATGAGAATCCAATTATGATGAATACACTCTAAAGGGAACAAACGAGATCAAATAATTAAAATTTGGGAACGACACTTAGGATTTGGAAGATGCATAACTAATGCAGCTGAACCATTATGGTGGAATAAACGTCATGTAACGTGACATTTGTAACTACAACTTGAGTATTGCGTGGGTCCAAAATAGAATGTCTGCACCTTTCCTCATAGATTAATGACTTTACGGACCGATGTTGTTTTAATCTGTGTGCTCTCAGATTATATATTAGGAAACGATAGATGAAAATTTATTGATCCGGAACATAAGATGTTTAATTTTGAAACAAGGAACTTTTCTGTTTTAAGAAAAAGTGACAATACAATTGGCAAATAATAAATAGGCCAATTTCTGTGCTAAAAGGTGTATTCTAAGTATGATCGAGTGAATATGTTTACCGATGGAACCCTTACTGGGAAGTCTTGGAATTTGGTGCTAAAAAACGAATGAAAAAGACACTAGATATTCAACGAAATAACGTTTCTCACAGTATGATTAATGAGAGAAAAGAAGTATGAGAAAGGTATAACGGTTCTTACTCGCGTTGCAACCCTTTGAACACATGAACAAACATATCTGCGATAAGATCGACCACCTCATGGTAATGGTTTTTGAAGGCCATCTCTATGTCTAAACCAACAAATTCTGTAAGATGTCGATGTGTGTTAGAATCTTCAGCACGGAAAACTGAGCCTATGGTAAAGACCTTCGTAAAAAGGAAATCAATAATCAGGATATACACAACTGTAAAGTACTAGAGATCGATAATGTCAGTCTAATTTATGAGCTGCTAAACAACTATACACACATAGTTATAATGTCAATCACAAACGATAGGCTTCAATTTGAACCTTTCCATACTATTTGTAAACCAAATAAACAAAAACAAACCCGATCAAAACACAGGAACATTTTTAGAGTACCGAAATTGGGAACACTCCCTAATGTATCACAAACACGTGCATAATCCGAGGTGCATTGTAAAAATACTACTTTTAGACAGATAAAAAGCTTAACTACTTATGGAGATTTATAGGTCAGAAAAATTTAGAGGATTAATCCCCCTACGGATGTCTTTTAAGTTCACATATTTATATGGTAATATGACTGAATGTAAATGTCCAGTTATCAGTTTTTGCATCAATCCTGCACTTCCTCAATAACTACAGTGATATACTGTTTTTCGGCTTTTCCTAGGTATCCATGAAAATACAAAAAATTGGATGTATTATGACTCTACGTACACTTACATACAAACATTAAAACAAACCAATTAAACTTGATATTCAAAATACCAAAAAAGCAAGTTTGTATATATGTAACTATCAAACCAGAAGTTCTCTACAGAAGACGTTAGACTTATAATGACTTAATGAGTACCATCTTTAGGAAACATTTACTGAGTGTTGTAGTAGAATTCAAATGGCCAGAAAGAGATTCCACTACTACAACAGTTTCGACAAATGAAGCTTCCAACAATTCTCTAAAACGCTTTTCTACCGTAAATGGAGTTTTAAGCAGTAAAACCCATACAAAGTATGATTCCCAAATATTGAGCGACAAAATTCTACTTTCAGAAGTAAGAAACACTGTTTGTTTACTTAAAAGAAGTTTATAACATGAAACTTAACCTTTTATTAGGGATAAAATTCTTAACCTGGAGTAAATGCAACGCCAAACGTTAAAAAAATGAAATCTGATGCAAAAACCATGAAACGTAACCAGTTGCGCTTACTCTTACTCTACTCTTTGAAATTACTAAAGAACCAAGATCCATATTCTGATAGACAGACGATAAAATGATTACTGCCAAATAGAATTTTTTAATAATCATTTTTGGATCTAAACTTATATGACCCTGAATAATTTTACGATATGTCAACCTCTGGAGTGATAAGCTTGATTACTTACCAGTTACGGCAATAATTACTTTGGAAGGTTGCGTATTTGATAGGGACACTTTATATACTATGCTGGCGCTAGGATTCTAAATTTCGTTTACGAAGAAAATTGCTATCTTGACAAGATGGTTAATAAATAATCATGTTGCTATTATAGTTATCCTTACAATGAATATCATACCAAACACTGTACCTATCGACAAAATATGGGAAAACAAAGCCATAGGACAAATTTGTACCTTACGGTAAATGACAGAACTCAAAAATCTGCTTTAAGCAGTGTTAATCGTTAAAGCAATCGTCTTTCAACCACTAAGTATTAGGTCTGAACTCTTAAAAGCCTACTTTGTTTTGGTAGTCGGGTATATAATACTGCACTTAGTAGGTCGATTACATGACTAATGTACTGGTCTGGCCATTTAATCCAATACTTGAGTCAATAATTAAAATTCACTTCGACAACCTTGATCTATAGTGATACATTGGTGCTATTATCTGATATCACACATTAAGTGTAGCCAAGTCTAATAAACAAGTGCGTCTTATAGCTGATTTGCAATTAAAATTCTATACAAATCCAACCTAAGACTTACGTGTGAGTAAACTTACAGAAGAAACGTACCCTTTCAAAGTCAGCCGCTATGGCCATTTGTTTATATAGCTGAGGTGACTGGGCCAAATAGGCACTACCAGAAAAGTAGGACACTTTGAAAACATTTGCACCACCTTCGGAAGCTGCTGAAATCATTTTTGGAGTATGGATATTCACAAACCCAGCATTAGTAAGGTATTCCATAAAAAACTTGACTACACCAGCTTCAACCCGATAAATAGCTTGATTGACCGGAGTCCTCAGATCTATGCATCTATTATCTAAACGAGTATCCTGATTGACCCGACTCAAAGTCTGGAATTGAAGCGAAAACTTAAAATATAACATTTGCGTTTGAACAATAAAATTTCAGGCTTAATATTGACAAGTGGAAATAAACATCACTAGCATTTTCGAAAGAGTAGGTTATTCGACTTGCAATGTACACAGATATCTTATCCAATAATACATTCCCTCACATAATTATCCGCACTTGCCAAGCATGTATTTCTTAATCCTTTGAATAAACAATATTATACTGTACTTGTGAGTTTCTTCGTCGAAAAATACCACCTAAAAAACTACTGGGAACCGTGGAACCCTGGAAAGTTACGTAATACAGGCTTTGAGGGGAAAGATATCTAAGGTATAACTCTGGACTAAAACCTGAAATCCGCGAATTTACTCGTGGAAATGACTGAAGCTTCTATTCTCTAGGAACTGAAATTTACAACTTATGAGTTCGTAAGTAGTAAAAGTCTGCAACAACTACCTGAAAAATGACTAATCCTTCGAAACTACTAGCTTGAAATGCAATATCTGCAATTGAATTTTCACCAAAAACAAACGGCCACGTTTCAAAAACTTTAATATTATAAACTAGATATTTAAAGTATTTAGTTTAGTCGCGTTTCAATTAAGAGTGTATATGAAAAAATGAATAAATATATTACGTAACCAACCGTTTCGTCATCATCAGGTCTCATTGCGTCTTCAATTTGTAGAGGTAAAGTTGGAAGAGCAGCACTTACAACAAACACTTTTTCACAATGGATTTCAATGGTATCTGGATTGCAACCCTCAATGAGAACAGGGCTTTTTAGAACTCGCCCAAAAACATCGACGATCGATTCCTTAGAAATGCTTCATCAAAAAAGGAGAGCCAACAGACAACAATAGGTTAGAAGAAACGCATAACACTAACGATCACTATTTTCTAAGGGATTTTAATGACGTGGTGTGATATACTGTTACTTTGTCACAACCAATTTTTATCACATATTACATTATGAAATCAGAACGTTATGTGATTTTCCACAATATATTCCTGTTACTATCAAAAGTCAAGGAGGATGACAAAGCATAACATCACCCATAGTTTTTGCATGGTTAACAGTGTAAAAGGAATGTAGTGAGTCCATAAGACTGTGATGAAAACTAAATGATACTACTAATTCTTGACTGGTTAGTTATTACATACTTGAAAATAAATAATAGTTTTCTCAAAAACAAAAGCCAGCCAACAAAGAACTGAATTATCCCTGCTCTATGACTCATCAAACGTTCACATCGCATGATGTTCGGTCATTAGTTTCATACTGATACTACCTGAGCTTAATAAAATAACCAGCCAAACAGTTATTCAACAGTGGTGTTAATTTATATAGGGTCTTACTATTCGTTTTACTCTGTTGAAGAGAATTATATATAACACAAGAATATGAATCATTACAAATATTCGGTTTGTTACACGGTTATTGTTGGAAGACTTGCACATGAAGTGACTGATACATCTGTTTGATTCATGTTTTCGAATATGGAGACGCTAATAAAATGCAGTCGTTTATTAGCACTGAGCAACAATACCAGGATGTTCAGGATCCGTTTCTCAAACTCTAAATGTACATTGTTGCTTCAGAACTGGCCTTCATCAACACTTGAACTAAGGATAGGGAGTGAAGTGGTCGAACGCTTATCTTGAAATTCTGGTCAGCCTTAATGGGTTGGTGTCTGACGAAATTTCTGCAAAGATTCGAAAAGCTTGTTTGGCCCTCACCAATCTACGTCACCTGTGGTGAAGACGAGGTATCCGCCTGTCAATTGAATGATGAGTATACTGTGCAGTAGTTTGTTCTGTTTTTCTTTACGGCTACGAAACGTGTCCACTAAGAGTAGAAGATACTGGTATTTGATCACAGATGTCTTATTATTATTGCTAGCATCTGCTGGGATCACCGGGTATGTATTAGTGAGATTAGACGCAGAGATTCGGGAACGAAGATAAATCAGCTGATGAGGTTGTGAATCTTCATCGACTGAGATAGTTGGGCCACGTATTACGCGTGCCTGAACACTGATCACCACAACGTGCAATGCTAACTAGTGTTCGAGACGGGTGGAAGAGTTGGGGACGGCCGACCTAAGATGTGGCATCAGTCCATAAAGTCACTAAATCCTTGTCGGAACCATGTTGGTAAATGCAGACTACTTGGTCGTGGTCCGCGCGAGTATCGTAAACAATGGTTAGGGAACCTGGGAAACATGGCACAGAATTGATCACAATGGTGTATGCTCTTTGTTTTCTCTTAAACGGCAAGATTAAGATTACATCACAAGTTCCTTTCTTCGAACTAATTCTTTCTCCCTGTATCATATCCTTGTATGAAATCTTTTTATTACGACCATAGAATTAACTGCTTCCTATATATATATATATATATATATATATATATATATATATATATATATATATATATATACATGGCAAAACCAAACGGCTGTTCAAACCGGAATGACTGTCTGTACAGTGGATGAGAAGTAAGAGGCCAATTCAAAGAAACCGAGACTAGTCTGAATGTGGATTACAAGCCCACTTGGATGTCTTTCAAGACAATAAAAGAAAAAAGAGTAAGAAGGTTCTAGAAATCATACGAAAAGCACCAGCATCTAAATAACGAGTTACCTGGAGACGAATGCCAACATTTCTTTTGGAGTACGTTCCCCGACAGAAAGCACGTTTTGTACTCTGTAGTCTTGTAAACGCAGTATAAAAAAACATAGTTTTCCTTTCATTCGACTTCTATGAAGACGCCCACGAACCCACACATTTTGATTGATATTTGACTCCTTTGACAATTCTCTCAGTTCAGTGTACTTGGGGCCTTCAGTAAACTGTGACTGACACAATGGGAGAACACCATATGCTTCCGTTGCATCAAGTATCCCATTTTCCCCAAGGAGCTTAACCACAGTTTTCTACATACCAGTTGTTTCGTTATTAGAAAGAAATTAGTGAAATTCACCTGATCAACCTCTGCTTCTTGAACCTTTGATTTACCTATATCGCGTTGTAATTTTCTAAGTTCCTTCTTTGTCTTTTTATCATTATCTTGATGAGTAACCTCTGGCATTATAAAGCCACACGCAGAAAGACTTTAAAGTGCACCAGACCGCGACCTTGGCGAAGAATTAAATTTACTACCTACATCAAGAATAGAACAGAAAACCGAATTCCTTCAAATGGTTCTGAAAGAAATTGATAAATCTTTCTTTGCATGTAGGAGCCTAAGCGTATTCACAAAACAAAAGGAGAATATTCGTAAGTGCTATCACGGCGCAAGCCAGACATCTACCTGTGCAACCCGCAGTTAAACATTCTCCTCCGAAACGATCAGTGAGTGACACGTCATTAGACGTTGGTGGCCATATTGCTACAGCAGCAACCGCTGACCCAGATAAAACAATTACTGTCCCGAGTTGTTCTAATATAGACGTTTCGACTGATGGAAAATGGATGACGCGAAAACGCAGAAGAGTAGGAAAGATAGCTAAAACTAATGACTGTTTACTTGGTAAGTCCTTGGTGGACTCCCAGACCAATCCGCCAAAGTCTCATAGTAAAGCTTCGTCTGACGTTGTTGTGAGTCATTCGCTTGACTCCCAGGACTCTGTTAAAATAAAAACTAATCGTAAGCTACCAGTAGTTAAAATACAGGATCTAACGTCACGGTCGAAAGCTGTGAACACAGTTTCAAAAGAAGCTAAACCCATCCCTAGTTTAATTATTTGAAATCTAGAGGAGTCGAAAGACAACGACCCTGCTAAAAGACACGCACATGACCTGCAGTTAGTGGAGTCTGTGGTAAGTAATGTGCTACCTGAAGAGGTTTCAGGGGTACATATTACAAAAGTAATACGACTTGGTAAATGGGTTGGAGGCGAGACCCAACCAAAAAGGATCCTGAAGCTGGTTTTCGGGAGTTTCGAAGAAATAGACATATTATTGAAAAGCGCACTAAAAACTCGTGCCTCAAATATCCGTATTCGACCAGATTGGCCGCTTGAGGATCGAATCAAGTGGAAGAATGCTCTTACGGAGTTGAGGACTCGCAAATTAAATGGCGAGAATAACCTTACCCTTAAGGGTTTTTGGGTAGTCAGGTCTTGGAAGCCAATGCTTCCGAGGCCTGTATGGTTAGAACGATTGATTTCCAAAACACCTTAAGTATGTGCTACACGAACGCTCGTGGTCTTAGAAATAAAACGTCCGAGCTAAGTCTGATGGTGAAAGAATTATGTCCCGATATAATCGTTGTTACAGAAACTTGGTTCACCGTTGATATAGACTGTTCTCCTTTCATTGCTGGTTATATCTGTATCAGAAGTGATAGAGTTTCAAGTCGCAAGGGGGGAGGTGTAATATTTTACGTTAGGAATCACTTTCGTATACAATCAACCATATAAGAGGTTCATATCAGTGGCACATGTGAGGTTGCATGTTGTAAGATTAAATCTAGAAATGGGTTAATGACTATAGGAATAATATACCGTAGTCCGTCTTGTCTGGCTGACGACTTTATCCTAAGACACATCTGTTCTTGGAGTATGGCAGAATGTTGTCTCATCATTGGGGACTTCAACGCACCGCATACCAACTGGATAGAGCTTACAGCTCCAGGTAGTGGTTTCGATAGCGACCTTTTATCTACCGTTATTCAGTATGCACTTGTACAATGTATCACAAAACCGACACATATTGATTTGCAACATGTTCCGTCACTGCTGGACCTCGCCCTCACCCACCACTGTGAGGATGTCTTTGATATCCAGCACCTTCCTCCACTAGTGAACAGTGATCACGTTGTAATTCACTTTAAGTTGAGGACGCATGGTATACAATTCGTATCTGCTCCACCCCGTCCCAATATCTGGCGAGCTAATATTCCGGAAATCAGAAACCGATTGGTCGGTCGACGCGGATGGATTGATCGAAGATGAATGGAATAAGTTTAAGGCTACATTCGAGTCCGTAACGTCGCCGTTTATCCCATGGTCAGCACGTAAGCCATCACATTGCCCTCCATGGATTAATAGGGAAACCCGGAAGCTGTTAAAGCGTAGGAACATTTCTGGGACTTATTCTTGTTGACAGGTCATGCACCATTTAAGCGTGGGTATCAAAAATACCGTAATATCTGTAAGAACACCATAGCCGAATCCCGTACCACTTGCGAACGACAGTTAGTATATGATAGCCGTACTTGTCCGAAACCATTGTTTTTGTATGTTAAACGGCGAACGAAACATAGTGATGATATTCCCCCTTTAATGTTACACGAAAATTCAGATTTATTAGCTGAATCAGATCGGGTAAAAGCTGGGACTTTTTCAAACTATTTTAGCCAAGTCTTCTCTACGTTTATTGTAATAAATACTTGTCCCACTCACACCGAGATACCAACCACTGAATCTGTACAGGTGACTGAGGAAACTGTCCTTCCGTTGATAACTAACCTCAAACCTGGTAAGACACCGGGCCCTGACGGATTACATCCACGGTTGCTATCATCTCTTACGGACATTATTTCGAAACCGCTTGCGACACTCTTCAACATGTCCCTCTCACTCGCTCAACTCCCTAGAGATTGGAAGGACGCTATAGTTAGTCCTATATTTAAGGACGGTCAGCGACAGATAGTATCTAACTACCGGCCTGTTAGTCTAACTAGCATAGTCGTTAAGTTACTTGAAAAGATAATTCGGGTTAGGTTGCTAAGCCACATAGATTTACACAATCTGTTAGCTCCTGAGCAACACGGATTTCGTAACAAGCGTTCATGCTTGACTAACTTGCTTATTGTGAGGGAGGATTGGACAGCAGCCCTAGATCATGGTCTGTCTGTCGACGTGATATTCATAGATTTTAGCAAAGCGTTTGACACGGTTTCACACGTAGGTCTTATGCAGAAGCTCATGAGCTTCGGAATAGTAGGTACTGTACATGAGTGGATAGGAAATTTCTTATGTGACCGCAGACAGAGAGTTAGGGTCAATGGAACGCTATCCGATTGGAAGCCGGTCAAAAGTGGTGTACCCCAAGGCACCATCTTAGGCCCTCTGCTCTTCCTTCTCTACGTTAATGAGTTACCACTGTTACTTAGGTCATCGACATTATTGTTTGCAGATGATGTAAAAATCTGGAGAACAATAAAAAGTGCGGCTGATCATGTGGATCTTCAAGCTGACTTAGACGATTTAGTTAGATGGGCTCGAGAGTGGGGCTTAGAAATCAATGCTAGGAAGAGTGTGCTAATGCACATCGGTCACGGTTATAGTTACCGTTACATTATTGAGGGTAAACCTCTTCCATGCGTTCAAGAGCATAAAGGCTTAGGAGTAATAATAAGACATGACTTAAAAACAACTACGCATTGCAACGTGGCCGCTGTCAAAGGTTTTCGTGCATTATGGTCACTTCGCCGAGCGTTCAAGTCTTTTGACGAAGAAACGTTTCGAATTTTATATCCCATATATGTTAGACCACATTTAGAGTACTGTATCCAAGCAGCTAGCCAATGTCTGGTAAAGGATACTAACTCCCTTGAGCGTGTCCAGCGTGTGGGAACGAAATTAGTGAAGGGTCTTTCTAGACTCCCTTACGATGAGCGCTTAAAACGCCTAAATCTTTTCCCCTTGTCGTATCGTAGGACACGAGGTGACCTTATACTGGCATTTTGTATCTTTAATTATGATTTGGGTGTTAATATGTCTTATCTTTTTGCTCCCTCCAGCACTAATAATCTCCGAGGTCATAGCAAGAAGGTTCATAAACCACGATCTAGTAAACTTAAAGTGGGATCCCGTTTTTCTCATCGAGTAGTCAATCATTGGAACGCCTTACCCGAACAAGTGGCATCAGCCCCATCAGTGAATACCTTCAAGGAAAAGCTGGACCGTCACTGGAAAGCAATGTGTCAGGATTAACACAGGTTCATCAACCTACTATCCTTATTACTGAAGACTGAAGACTGAAATTATAGTGACGTACTGTCCCAAGTCCTCAAGTATATTACAAGTTTCCTATGAATGTCTCTTATGAAAACACTTTGCTAATCACAGCCGTCAGCTAATTCTAGGATTCAACTAGTCTCAAAAGGTAAAAGATGTCCCTACAGTCCATTCTACTACTCTGCCTCTCTGTTTTCTGAGTGTTACTATCAAGGATTGTGTTGAGGTAAGAGGGTGCCCAAGGGTGTTTAAGATGCTATGAGTCACTAGGTCATCCATGGGATGCTTATAGTCTTATGGGTAAAGATTCAATGATCCATGGGGCTAGTCACCACGTTTGAATTTGAGTTCTCCAAATGACTTGTAGCGGTAAATAAGTCCCCAAAATAAATAGCTCTGTAAGTTTTAGACATTGGATGCCGACCACATGCTTTAATGGACTCAACTAGCCGAGGGCGCTCGGTCATGCATACGCACCAGATCACGTGTGGGAACGCCGTGCTCAACATCTACTAATCACTAGCCAGACTAGATCAGACAATTCCGATATATTGAAAATCGTCAAATACAACTTCTGATCTCCTCGATTCTGTCTTTTGATTCCTCTTGGTGGGTATGAGTTATATTAGGTGTTACTGGTAAAAGCGTTGTCAAACACTGCATACCTGTGCCATCTTCAGAATTAATGGCTTACCTTTTGATGGCCCTGGAAGAGATGCTTGGACCAATTCATGAGGTAGTGTACGCCAAGAATTGATTACTCACTGAGAGCTAAAAGCATGCTCACAGTCTACTTTATCGCAGCCCACTTCTAATTTTTATGTGCTACCTCAACTTTCATGTTAGAACTGAACTTAAATGGGCATTTCAGAGGAATACCTGAAATGTTTACGGTGCTTTAAGTCATTTATAACTTGCCTCTAGGTCACGTGCATCCAAAAAATAAAAATCTAGTGATTAAAGAGGTGCCTCGTAACTCTTGGATTTCTGTTTACAATCTGATTCTATGACGCCATTTTGGATGAACTACAAACTGTCCTTATTTTCCTGAAGTGAAGCGGGAGACATTTTAATTCCACAGTGCGAATAGGGTCGGATAATAGCTGTCATAAATTGAGCTTTATGTTCCACCGTTAAACTGTTCAAAACGTGTTTCAGAATTACCAATACAATCA